ACATTTGCAAAAGTTATACTGTGTGGCCTTTATCACCTTAATTTACTTGATCTCTGTTGTTGGATGTTTAGGTTTTTCCCAACTTTGTCCTGCTGTAGGACAAGCTCTGTCCTTCCTTTTGCATTTTTTTAGAATATAATATTAAAGTTGGGATGAATTGATCAACAAGTATTAGCACCTTATTTTTTGGCTATAAATACAGGCGTACCTTGCTGTATTGTGCTTCACAGATACTGGGTTTTTTACAAATTGAAGGTTTGTGGCAACCCTACGTCAAGCAAGTCTGTTGGTGAGTTTTCCCACAGCATCTGCTCACTTCATGTCTGTGTCAAGCTTGATAATTCTCACAATATTTTAAACTTTTTCATTGTTATTATATTTGTTATGACGATCTGTGATCAGTGGTCTTCGAGGTACTTTTGTAAAGGTTTTGGGGTGCCATGAGCTGGACCCCTCTACGATGGTGAACTTCATCGATAAATGTTGTGTGTGCTCTGACTGCCCCACTGGCCAGCAGTCCCCTCGCTCTCTTTCTCTCCTCGGGCCTCTTTCCTCCCTGAGACACAACAGTATTGACATCAGGATGGTGAATAACCCCACCACGACCTCTAAGCCTTCAAGTGAAAGGAAGAGTCATTTGGTGCAGCCGACTTGTTTGCTGTCTTGAAGACTTTGCCACAGCTGCCCCCACTGTCAGCAACCCCCACCCGCTCAGTCAGCAGCCTCAGCATCGAGGCAAGACCCTCCACGAGCCAACAGGTTGTCACTCATTGGAAGCTCAGATGACAGCATTTTTTAATCAATAAAATATATATTTTTAAAAGATTTTATTTATTTATTTGAGAGAGAGAGAGAGAGTGAATGAGAAGGGAGAGGGAGTGAGAATCTGAAGCAGAGTCTGCACTGAGCACAGCCCGACATGGGCTTGATCCCACAACCGCGGGATCATGACCTGAGCTGAAACCAAGAGTTAAGCTTACCTGACTGAGCCACCCAGGTGCCCCATCAATAACATATTTTTTAAATTATGTATGTTGTTTTTTAGGACACAGCACTATTGCATACTTCATAGGCTACAGTATAGTGTAAACACAACTTTTATATGCACTGGGAAGCCAGAACATTGATTTGACTAGCTTTGTTGCAATATTTCCTTGATTACGGGGGTCTGGAACTGGACCTGAACCTGCAGTATCTCCGAGATATGCTTGTATGCATTGTCAACATGACTTCCCAAGTTTGAGTCCAATTTACACAGCCACCATGAATGAGTGAGCTTATTAATTACCCTGCAGACTTATTTATGGTGCTTTTAAACTTAAAAGTTATTAATTTAATAGGCATTTCTGCCAAATTAAAAGTTATTAATTTAATAGGCATTTCTGCTACATTAAAATTTAGTAATTTAATAGGTATTTCTGCTACATTTTCACCGTGTAAGCTGAAGTGAGACAGTATTGTATAATGGGAGTGTGTGGGCTAGATATTTTGTTTAAATCCACATTTTTCCAGATGTGTGACCTCTGTAAGCCTGTTTCCTATAATTATAAAATGAGGTTACAAATCTGATATTCAGTGTTGTAAAGAATAAATGGAAACATACACATTCGTACATATACGCTTACATCATGTACATGCATGCACACACACACACACATGCACACACACCCTGTAATTTGGTACCTGGCATAGAATAGGTACATATTAAGTGACAGGTCATGTAAAATTAAATATATATTGTATATTAGTAATGTGTGGCAGAAGAGTAATAATTGGAATGTTTTGCTGTAGCTACTGTATATAGTGAAAAGAAATGGAATTTAGGATTTACAAACCTGTGTGCCTATCTAATACTATGTGAAATGAATGTCGTGTCTGTAGAATGTTCAAGAAAATTGCATAAAAAATAAAATTCGTTTCCTGAAGCAGTGCTGTTCATAATTGGTTCCTTCTCTCCAGGAAATTGAGCAATGAGTTGGTCAAAATAGATCTCCTAGAATTCATTTTAAAAGCCAAAATTATGATCTCACCTGCCTTCCTTCCCTTTAATTCATTAAACAAATATTTATGGCCAGGCATGGTTGTAACTCCAAGGATAGAGTGATGGTCAAGATCAACAAGATCCTTTCTTTTTAAGAGTTTACATCCTAATTCTAAATAAGCAAACTGGTTTCCTCTCAGCTGGTGTGAGTCCCCCTAGAGTCAGTGATGAGACACAAGGCCTGTGTGTGGCCCCAGGAGCAGAGGAACATGGTATTTCCCTGTCTCACTGGCTGGTACTGTGTTGCTGACTAGTCCTCTTGCTTTACAAAAATACTGAATCCATGGAAAATTGTTATTTTTGGTATCATGTTTTCTTTTTTTGATAAAACTTAGAAGGGTTATTAGACTTAGGTGATCATAAGAGACGATCGTAGATATGATTTACTGCTGGTGAAATGATGATATATAACAATGGGAAATATGATTAAGTTGAGAAATTACACACAATCTTTTTAAGAACACAGCTGTTGTAGAAAATGAGGTATCTGTATTTGCTTTAGAGACAACACTGCCGTAATTTTTTTTGTAAAGCATATAATTGTAATGTAGTAAAATGCTTATGTGAAAATAGGGATGTTGAATAATCTTACTAGGGAATCTTCAGGGTTTGTCAAATTGCTTTCTCTATTTAGAAAAATAAAATATCTCATATTGTGGTAGAAATGGCAGTACATCTGTAAGTGCTATAATGTTTGAATAGACTGTAAGCTCCTTGATGGAAATCACACTATGATGTCTCATTATCTTCAAACAAAGCAAGAAAAATCCATTGATGACAATTCTGTTAGCCTTATTTGATGATTAAAATGCTTTTCAAAATTCTCATACTTTAGTAAGTGTATTTCTTAGCAAGAACATGTTAGTGTGTTATGACTGATAAATAGTAAATATTAATGTATATACTCTGTGTCTGTTTCTAAACTCTAACTTGATATGATTTTTTCTTTATAATCTGAGCTTTAATTACTCCCTTTTGGTCAATTATATATAGATGTATATCAAAAGATAGATAGTATATATTATTTATTTTTCATCTACTGGATCAGGGACTGGGTTATATTTCTATTTCAATGGACAGCACACTTCTTGCCACAGTAAGCTCATTAAATATTTTTTAAATGATTAAAAGTCTACATGAATTCTTCCTATACAATGTGATGGATTTTTATGTTTGTTATCCCATCAGGTTGCTTTATTGTCTTGAGAGGCTTCAAATGTTTGACTTAAAGGTGCATCTTACCACCTGTCACTACCAATTCTCATGCAGTTCTGACCTTTTACCATCTGTATCTTCTTCAGGAACATTTTACAGCAAGATAAATGTTAAAACTCACAGTGCTTTTTGGCCAATCTTCTCCAGGATGTGTGTATATGAGTGTGTGTTTGTGAGTGTGTCTGTGTGTGTGTGTGTATGGTAATAATACTTGTAGAGAATTTTAAAATGATAGAAAGTAACAAACAAGGAAAGAATATTTACATTAATCATACTACCCTCATATAGCCACTATTAATATTTTGCTGTGCCTTTTCAATTGCTTTTCTATGATTGTGTGTTTGTATGTGTGGACAAATATCTATGCATAGTGCCTTGCACAAAGAAGGTGCTTTATAAATAAGTTGAATAAATGAATGTCTCAATATATGTAAAAATTTATATTTTAAAATTTAGGATAATATAATCTGTTTTATGTTTTATGTACTTACTTTGATTTTACTTAACCTAGAAAATTCTCAAAGTATTTTGTTACTTAAAAAATACAGTTTTCGATAACTTCAAAATCATGTGTATATATGTGCCTATGTATATAGGTACATGTATTAGTCTTTTTGACCTTTTTCTCATATTAATATTATTTTGTATTTTTGCTGTAATAATGTTCTGATGTATATTTTTACTATCAACTTTTATCATGACTACTTAGTATGTTAATCCTAGAGGGGGGATTACTGGGACATAGAAGTATAAACTTAAAACAATTATCAATACTTTTAAGATTTTTATTATTTAAAAATGATATTTTTATTGAATTACAAAGGAGAGCTATTGATCTAGAAAATTTGGAAAGCAGAAAAATAAAGTGCAGAGAAAACTGGGAAGAAGCCATAATCCTGGCAGCTAAAGATGACCTCACTTAAGATTTTGATTTACATAATTTTAGTCTTTCACATTTCAATTATGTATTTTACCAAAAAGGATCATTTTGTTTTCTAAACTGCTGTTTTTTTCCACTAGTAGTGTATCATTAACATAGTCTTTCTCTGCCATTAATCTTCTATAATGTAATTTTACAGCCTATTATTAAAATGACACATCTGTACAATGCATTTAATTAACCCCCTCTTGGTGGACCTGTAGTTTGTTTCCAATGTTTCATTATTATGAGGAGTTCTAGGATAAAAACCCTCGTGTTTGTCCCTTGGGCACACTCACCGTAATCGCATTAAGACAAATTTCTGGAAGCAGAATTGCTGGTTCAAAATTATATATGAATAATTTTTAAGGCTTTTGACATATATTTCCACATTGCCTTCCAAAGGTTGTACCAAGTGACATTCATCCCAAAAAGAGGTATGAAAGCGAAAGGAGATTGTACAGATATTTTCAGGTCATTCACCTTAAAATGAACCAAATCATGTTTTAGAAAACCGGTACCTGTTTACTCTTCTTTGAGAGGAGTAAGAAACTACCCATTTTAAGTGTTTATCGGCGGTCTTCTTGGCAGGGGAAGTATTCATAGGCCTGTTCTGAAACAGGAGAAACTGTGCATGGACTGGTTAGATGACTCTACCAAATGCTCATGGCAAGTGAGAGATAAGGTTTTTATCAGTTGCTGGGTCTCCTGATGATCTCTTTGATGAATCAGCGTGCTTGTATATGTATATATGTTTATCTTCAGTTAGATATTGTTTTTCTGCCACTAACTGTTTCAAGAAAAGTCACTGTGTTTTCTTTTCAGTCCCTTCAGTGACTACACAAGAAGCGTGGTCGTGGGAACAGTACTTGACAGAACAGAAGGCGACAGCAGCACCCGTTGAACTGTTTTCCAAGGTGAACCACTAACAGTCTTATGTTTTGGCAAGGAATGAACACTTAAGAGAAGTAACTAAAAGGAGATCATTTGCCTACACAGAACATCCAACTTATTTGATTTGTAGGTTTCACTGGAAAATTACATAACAAAGCTAAGGGAAGCCTTAGTGATTCAGAGCCAGACTGGAGTGTGTCCTGGAGCTGGACTCCCTGGGTTTGAAACCTAGTGCCACTACCTTCCAGCTCTGTGACCTTGGGCAAGTCATTCAGTCTCTCTGTGCTTCAGTTTCCTCATCTTAAGGAAATTACCATACCTACCTCCTGGGGTTGTTGGAGGATGAAATCAGTTATACATGTAGAGGGCATTGGATGCAATGTATGTGCACATAATGAAAAATACGTGCTAGTTTTTCTTTGTATTAGCAGATATTACTTGCACAGGACAACCCACGGATCAGGTTCAAGGGATCTGTTTTGATGTGTTGCATGGAAGTGGTGGGTCAGGCAACATGTTGGAGGAGACAGTGAAACCCCTAAATTACATTCTACCTGACTAACAATGCCAAGAGCAGCAGTCTATGTGGGCTTGCTTGACCAAGTGACTTTTGGCACGGGGTGCTTGTGACTTCACGGGGATCATCTTTACCCAGGGTACCAAATCTTCTGCTACCCTATCTATTCTTCTTGGTCTGTGTTTTCAATGTTTCAAGGGGATTTATATAAAAAATTGCATCAGATTTGCATCATTATATTGCATTTTAGCCAGCAGTGAGAAGCTAACGCTCCTTATTTGCTTTACTTTTCAGGACATTTTTGTTGAGTTACATCTAGTACTTTTTATTATGTAAAAGGACTAGCAATTTTTTTAAAGATTTGTATTTGTTTATTTTAGAGAGAGAGAGAGAGTGCAGCAGGGAGGGGCAGAAGGAGAGGGAGAGAGAATCTCAAGCAGACTCCCCAATGAGCACAGAGCCCAACACAGGGATCCATCTCATGACCTTGATATCATGACCCCAAGATCAGGACCCAAGCTGAAACCCAAGAATCAGATGCTCAACCAACTGAGCCATCCAGGTGCCCCAAAAGGGCTAACAATTTTAATCCTGGCCATGGAAATAGAATGGGGGAGATGTGAAGCAAATAGGGAAAGAAAGAGAAACCCAAGTGCTGGCAGCTCACGTTTAAGAAATACTAAATATTTCATACTCAGCCCAATCTTCACATCAGATGCCTTTATGGAGCTTTGGAAAACCCACATGTATGGGTGTTCCTGAGACCTATTAACTTAGAACTTCAGCGGGTGGGGCCTGGTACCCTGGAGCTTGAGAACCTCCTCAGGCTTCTGTGTGCAAGATGGAGGTCCAAGGTGGTAGTAGCTTGTAAGAACTGTGCAGTCCCTGCTCAGGCAGGAGTCAGGTCCCTGCTGACTCGTGATGAGACTGTCACGTGATGAGACTTAGAGTAAGCTCCCTAGGTAAGGGTCTCTTCTTCCTTCTCTTTCATGTTTCCTCACAATGTCTGTTCTTAGTGTGCTCATGATCAGTCAATGTTGAACGACTTCTGGGTAACCTCTTTTCATTCCCGAGCATGGAAGTTCCTTAAAGAGAGTTGGCTCTGACTGGGGCAATCCAGTGCAGCCTGTAGTTGCCCTTTCTCTCTGTCTCTGAGCCCATCTTGTGCCCATGCTGTGTGGTCACTGCAGGTCAGGAGGGTGGAGTGAGCAGGCCCCAGATCCAGCTAAGGCCTGTCAGGAGCTGTGAGCCCCAAGGGCAGATATAGTTCAGCTGGGCCCAGGGTGTGAGGTTCAACCACAGGACACAGGCCAGGCTTGTGACTCAGTGGCTGGGCATGGATGGGATCTCTGTAGGGTCTCAAGGCAGCCAGCGACCACAAAAATGTAAGACTAGTCAGTGATTGAGGTCAGGACTTCCATGTAGCAAAATTGGCCATGAGTGATGCAGGGTCTTAGGAATCAGACCCCTGTGTGTCCCTAGACCGGAGTTCTCTCTTCCCTCCATTGAGAATTGAACCACATGTTAGCGTGTTAGGCTGAAATGGACTCTTATTTCCGGAGCAAGGCAGGTTTCAGCTGTTGGCAGAGAGCTGTTAGGTTCTGGTCAGTGCCTGCATTCTTCCCTCAGCTCAGCCAGTGAGTGGATTAACACGGTTTCTCGGTTTCTCCTCTAGGACACTTCAAGGTCCATCAACTAGTGCAAGAACATCCGCAGAACAGAGAATTTCTCCCCCGGTTTTTCCCTCGTGACCTAGTATTAACTAAAAAAATCTCCAAGGGGGCAAATGTGAGATTCCTGTTCCTGAGATAAATCCCTATTTCAACATTGGGAATTGTGTAATAGTAGGTTATGGGTCATAGAACTTTCTCCCTTGACTTTATAGAGATCTGACAGGAGAGGTACTGCGAGCGCTAAGTGAGGGGGACACGTGGCATTGTAAAGGCAGGGTTGGGCTCCCTCTGGAGGGTGTAAGGAGAATCCATGATTCTCTCCACAGAGGAGAGATGAGCAGTGAGCAAGGGACGCCGTCTTGGAGGATTTAGAAATGTGACTTTAAAATATGACTTTCTCAAGCTTGTGGACTCTAATTTTTGTCAACTCTGAAAGTGACGATAAAGTCTGAGCATGTGCAAAAGTGGACATGCCTGACCTGTTGGCATGCCTTTCTCTTCACTCAGAATTTAACAGTCAAGCTACTCACGTAATTGAGTAGCTTGACTATCTGTACAAAGCATCCTTTATACGGACTGAAACACTAGGGATTTTATAACATGGTTGCTTAAAATCTTGCCGTCTACTGGGATGTAAGATATGCCTGAAAACATGACAGCAGTGTGAGGTAGAATGTTCATTGTCAGCGGAATGTACAAGTAATGAGTTTCCTAGGTTGTTCCGAGCAGAGGTGGTATCTCCTCCAACCCTGAATGAGGAGGAACAAGCTTACCATTTATTAGGTCTGATTTGTCCTGATGACTGAAGATGCTTGTATTCAAATACAGTGTTACTCTGACTGGACATTTATATTCTGAGATGAACTGACATGGTTTATAATTGAAAATAGCATTCAGTAGAATAAAAAAGGCAGGTAGTTCAGGCCAATCTTCCAAGAAAGATGATCAGATTGAACTTAGTTTTAGAGTGACATTGTGCTCTTGACTCTTACTGTCCATTTTAATTGTGTAAATATTGTAATAATGGTGTTCAGTTCAGCCAGCTAAGATGGAACTTCTCAGCTTTTGACACGGAAATGTTGAAAATAAAATGAAAACAGTTTGCATATCCTGATTGGAAAACTATTAAAAAGATACTGAGTATTGCTTTACTTTTACTATATCATTTCCATCCTAATACTCATGTTTTAGAAGTGACAGACACACAACTGAGCAGTTCTATCATGCAAATCAGACATGTATCCTACGAAGAAAATGTGTGTGTGTATATGTGTGTGTGTGTGTATATATATATATATATATATATATATATTTGTGTGTATACATTTTTAAAAGAGTATGCTTATTTTATTTGCACGCAAGCTTTTTGCATATCTAAAGGCCGATTTTGAATTTCTTTTTGTATAAGACAAAGTAAAGTGTTTTATAATTTATGGTTTATTTTACCATCTGGGGTAGTGAGTGTACAAGGATATAAACATCTTCTGTTGACAGAGAATATAAAAACATTTTCTCTTCATTACTGGTGAAATGGGCCTATCTTGATTTGATTCAAACTTTAAAATATTTTTTCCTTTGGTTTTGAAATTGGTTCTAAAACTTTTCTCTCTTATCTCTCCCCGCCAGTCATCTAACCATCCACTGTATCTCCCTGAAACATTCTTCCCACCCTGCTTCCCATCACAAGTTCAAATACGCCAGCCTGGAATCCAAGTCCCCATAGTCTAGTCCCATCTGTAGGTGCACATGAACACAGAGCTTCTTCCGTGCCGGTCAGCCTGTTGCTGCCCTGCTTAACTATTCAGAGTCTATCCAAGTGTGAGGCCTTTGTGTCTCCTCTTGTTCTCTGAACTTTGTAGGCCCATGTCCCCCCAAGACCCTCCCCCTTCAGGAAGCTGTCCCAGCCTGTGCCATCTGACCTGTGGACTTGGCCGCTTCTGTCTGCCCAGCTCCTGCTGGTGGGAGTGAGGCTTGGGGGACAGTATAGGACCAGCGGGAGGGCAGGTGCTGTCCCTTGTGTTATCTGGCCACGAGCCAAAGGGACCTCCACCTGCACCTATCCCAGCATTCTGGGGGCAAGTCTGACCGAGGGAGCATAGCCCTACCTCACCCTAAACTGTCCTCGTCGCACAAACCACACATCCCGGTTGTCCTTAGTCACTGGCCCAGAAAGCTGTGCTTTTTATGCCCAGGAGCTGATCCTGTCTCCCCAGCCAGTGGATGGCCGAGTAGATAGGCTAAATGCGTGCTTGGGCCCCTGCAAGTCAGGGACACTTGAATATTTTAAAGTGATTGGTATTTCAGAACAAGATGAAAGTCATCATGGAAAAGCTAAAATTCTTGGACTTCTCTGTGTGTCTTTTATAGTGTAGTATATAGTTGTAGTTTGAATTTTATATAGCAAGGCGGTTTTTCTTTTTCTTTTTCTCTCTTTCCTTTCCTTTCCTTTTCTTTCCTTTTCTTTTCTTTTCTTTT